AAATTTGATGCCAAGAGCAGTGCTTATTACAAAGCCTGACAAAAGATGCTAACTTAACATTTAAAATCTGTTTCCACTCTCACAAGCATTATTGCCCAACACTTAGAAACATCACCCTTTGCTCTTAAAGCTGAAAAGGTTTAGAATTAAAACAGACTATTTGAAATGCTGGCTGAGAAAGGCCATATCCTTTCTTTGTATTACAAATTTCCTGTATGAAGTATCCATGAATGTTTATGCAAGAGTCAATTATTCAGAATGTCTTTAAGCATCAGTACTTTTTATAATTAGCTTTCCTCTGAATGCAAGTCTTTTTGCAAGGACCAACTTCTGTCAGACATTTTTTAGTAGTCTGGACACCAAGCATGTAAAGGCTGCTAAGACACATCCATGTCTAAAGATTTTTGCCTATTTTTAAGCAATACTTTGAATTAAGAATTCATATTTTAAAGATTGGTGATACTTGCAAAAATGAGTAAACCTGAACATACATCCAAATATTAAAAGATTTTTCCCTATGGATGTAACTGCCCTCTACTGGATCCAAGTCAGAAGTACTTAAACACCTTCCCCACTTACTGGGTACTACAAGCACCTGAAAAAAATGGTTTCTTTGGTTTTCAGGAAAAACAAGAAGCTATACAAAAGCAAGGAACTTATCTTTAATGACAGACACCCTGAGTAAAGTACTGGCCAGTTGAGAAGCAGTTGTGAAACTCCTTCCTAGTTGTTTATTATACTGCCAAGAAAAAAAAAAAACCTGTAGTCTAGTAAAATCTTACCTATTCTTCATGGACCATACTTGAATTTACAATGCACCATTTCAATATCAAACTTGTCAGAAGCATCAGCCAAACAAATCCTCATGACAAATTTTTCCAGCAGCCTTAGTGCTGACAACAGGTTATTGAATATTTTTCCCTAAAATTCTTCAACTTAACACCCAGGTATAGAGAGAACAGGACATAAATGGCTGAATATTGGTCATAATTTGATTCAAAGCTTTAGCAAGTTGATACATGTCCAACAATCCTCATCAGCTGGAGACAGACTTCTGCTTTTTTATCGAAGAAGGCTGCCCAAAAAAGATCCATACAAAAGCACTGTTCCTCTCAGCCACACCTGCCTACTGAAGCAGACAGAGCCAACCAGTTAGAGAAAATCACTTACTACACACTGAAAATAAATTCCTCACTGCTTAACTCCTGCACACCAAGGTAACATTTAACAAAGCTATCTATACAGAAGTTTAAGGAATGTCTTAGAAAGGTATTCCTAACCTGAGATATTCCTAATACCTGAGATACTACACAGCAGTACCTGCCACTGGACTTATTCTCCTCTGAAATTCACATCACCACAATGCTACATCAAGAAAATTGTGTGCTTTGTCTTCCACTTTCAGTCTGATTTCTTCAACTCCTTCTGGCACATCAGTTGATTACCAGCCTTTTTTACTGCCTATAAGGTAGTAAGCAAAATATTTGCCTGTCAAGAAAGACGATTTACTAACCTTCTGTTCTTGAACAACATGCTTTTCCCCCCCACCAACTCTGTCTGGAGAATGAGATATGGTGAATGTTTTAAATGACCACAGAACTAAGCCCTAAGAACTCTGTCCATGAACTCTTCCACCAGCCCATGAACCCTGACTATAGTACATAGCTCAGAATGACTGGAGAAAGGTAGGGATAACAAAATCATTCTTGTTACAGTAAATAAACCTAGACAGAGTTGTAAAGTCTCAAATGCATGTCAATCCAGACTAATATCAAAATTCCATGCATAATTGTAATTTAGGTCTCCAAGTGCCTTTCAAGCAAAAAGCAATTGGCAGAAGGAAAAGTTAAGAAGTTGGAAATAATTACCATGAAACAACAGAACCCAAACTAATCCACAAAAGGTAATAATGAAAAGGCAGATGAGATTTAGTAGAATGAAGCAGTGTTTTGAAACAATAATACCCTCAACATCAGCTTCACTAATAACAACATTACAAGATTATTTTAATACTGGACAGCAAAACACCTGTTTATTTAGAACATTTGGGGAAAAAAAAACCCCAGCATACTAGATTTTACTTAAATTTCAATCTTATTGAGACTAAGAATAAAACCTATACAAAGAAAACAGCTCTGATTAAAAAAAAAATCTCAAAAAATCCCTTTAAGAAGTAGTACTCACAACAAACTGCTCTGCCTAAAATATGGAAGTCATGTGATAAAGAGATCAGTTCGTCCTCATCCTGGCATCCTACTGCCAAAAAATTTTCTGTTGCTTTACCCTTTCAACTGCAGACCTGATAAATGCAAGATCATTAATAAGAATACTGATTTAATCTCCTACTCCCAGAAAATTGTTTACAAACCTGAAAACTATCTATGCAGCAGCTATTTTATCCTACAACACAGTTCTACATATAATATTCTTACTCTCTGTCCATAAATAAGCAACTTCAGTACTTCATCATAGAAAGCAAGAAAAACATCAAATGCAAATACTTAGTTAAGTCAAAGACTGTTAGCTCTGTCTACAGCTAAATTGCACTCACACACTAAAAAAATAAAATAAAAATAAATCAGTGAAGTCACACCAGTATGTACTTTACAGCAGTAAAGTAAGAGCACAAATTCAGCATTTACCATGTATACCAGCAGTGCTCTGCAGACATTAAAAATCAATATTTTTAAATAAACATGAAGCACTTCTTTTGCTACACAGTACATTGATTTTTGCATGGCTGGGTTTAACTGTTCTGAATGATCCCCTTCACTGAAGGATCTCAGTAACTTTTAGTCCATTCCAAAATGCTATTTTCAGTGGACTCTGCTCATGTGTGATCACAACACATGCAAGCCCTGAAACAAAACTTTTCTATGTAGAAACAGGAAATGAAATTGTTACTTCAGGGGAATGTGTCCCACAGAATCTGCAACAAATACACAACAGCTGCATTTGGAACACATGAAAACTACATTTTGTCTTCATGCCCTTAAAACACCCCTACTTCACAAGCATCTCCACAAAACAGGCATCAAGGTTTGGATCTGGTTTACACTTTCTCTAAATTTTTTATCAGATCAGGTGAGAAAATATTTAGTGCTCACACTTCTCTTTGGTCATCTGCTCTTCAGTCTCTTATCATCCTATTTAATTGATTTTCCAAATTACCTGCTGGATACCCTAGGTAAGGAACTGGACACAGAGGTAAGCTAAATAGCTGCAGGAATGCAACACAGAATGAGAACAATCAGCACAACAATCATAAAGCCTTTTAGTGACAAATCCACAGAAATGCTTACCTAAAAAACATTTTTTATCCTACCAGTAATACTGGTGGTAAACTGTACTAAGACAACTACAAACACATATTAAACTCTATTCAGAAACAGTTTTTAATAATATTCTAATGATCCTGCTCATTGAAAATGCTAACATTTTGAACTAAAGAATTCACCAGTGCTATTAATGCAGATAAAACAGAGGATAAACTCTTCAGGAAAGAATTCCTTGTGACTAGGTAACAGAAGGTACACAAAATGAGACTTCTGACAAATTCCAAGTTCCAAAAAAATATATTTATGAAGAAAAAATTTTCCTCTTCTCCCAATACCATCTTAAAAGTTATGAACCAATCAAGATGGGCTTTTCTAAACTTTTTTCCAATCTCTCTGACAGCCACGCAAAGAGCTGAACATGCACCAAACTATTTTTAAGCAGTAACTTAGAAGGTTACTATCATATTTCAGTAGGAAATACTGCTGTGGATATTTGAATTTTTAACCAGCAACTTTATTCTGATTCATTGACCTTTATCAAAATTTATGCAATTTAAACCAACCCATCTTTTTAACAAAGCTGTTAGAACACCTCCTTTAGGGGCTTTAAACAGTTTCATAATCTTAAAGGAAACTGGTACTCAAGTTTCACTATTTTAACCATTTATGTAGAAGTTTTCCTTTGCATAAAAAGACATATTTTCATTTCTTGGCTAAATTAGTACTACCTTCACCACAAATTCCTTAGCTTTCAGCTTTTTATGAAAATTTTTAAATTCAACAATGCAAAACAAAAACCACTGCTGTCTGGGAAAGAGGAATATAAACAATTTGAAATATTTAGCACCACTGAATGAATCATCCAAACATACACCCTCAAGGAGGATTTTTTATTTGCATAAAGGCTGAAAAAAATTAACAGAAATCAATGAAGTTTAAAGCATTATCATAACAAAAGCATGGAAAGTTTCCCATGACAAAAAGAAGGTGCATGTAAGATGCTCATCCTAAAAAAGATACATAAAAATGTATACACAGCAGGTTCTATGACAACTTCCTCTTTCTTATTCAAACAAAAGACAATGCCTAATAGGCCTTTCATTTTAAATATTCCATTATGCTTAGAAATAGTCTGTGGAAGTTGCTGCTACACAAACCAAGTAAAAGAACCCCACAAAATCCAGTGGGAAAACTTAGGAAAGTCTTAAAAGCCTTAGAAGAAGTGATTAACAAGCACATGCTGTGAAGCATATAAAGATAAACCCTTCAGGGCAAAAGGGAACCCCTAGCTACTGGGAAACTGAGGTTGGTTGGGGCTTAGTTTTGCGTTGTTTTTTTTTCTTGTAAGCAAGTTATTTCACAGAGACCTTTTATAACATCTCATATTTTCCTGAATGAAAGAAGAGTCATGATTAAAGACAATACTGGACTGGACAGCATGATACTCTAATTCATATTGCAGCACATTTTAAATTTTCAGTATTTAAAGAGAGTTTGAGTCTTTTTATAGAGCAAGAAGTTACCAGAAGACAGGCTATTCAAAACAGTAAGCTTTTAGCAAACAGACAATCACAAAAAAACAAGCCCCACACAAAAAACCAAAAGCAAACAAACAAACACCCCATCAAATCCACCACCCACACTTGGGCATCAAGAGAGTGCAAACCTACACATGCCATTTAGGTTACATGGTAATTTATAAAAACATGAGTAACTACTTACCTACTACTAGCCCACACTCAGAACAAATCATATCACCAGCTCTGTAATCCTCCACTAAAATGGAATCTGGATGATTTGGGCAAGTCACTCTTGGAAGTACATCCAAACTAAGAAACAAATGAGAAGTGTTCATTACTATTAAACAAGCAGGCTGCATATCAATATCAAAAGAGTTCCTTGCTAATAAGGACACTTCTATAATACAGCATTCAGTGATTTAAATTCTAGAATATTAACTTGACTACCTGAGCTGCGCTTTTTATTTAAATGCTGTAACACTACATTTGACAGTCAAGACTTCAGATCACCTTAAATTCCTATTTTCTTGTAATGTATCTTGTACCAAAATCACTTCAAATCAAAACATCTACAGACTCGATTAAATGCAGTACAACTCACAAACTACTGCTAAATGATGTTTCCCAATAAGTTAGTGGCAATTTCTTCATTCCAAATAAGAATATTCACTCCTACTCAGAACAGTATTATTTACCAGCTCCTTAAGTCAGGAAGTGGTACACATACAACATGTATGTTTAGAAAATTCCCAATTCAAACACTGGTTTATTTTAAAGTATTTGAAGAAGAAATTAAATTTTAAATTAAGCAATTAATAGTGAGATCTTAACAAAAAATAATCAGCTCATAAGGCAATTACATGACAAGAAGTTCTAGTAACAGATCTCTTTCACACCCTTGGACCTTCAAGAATTACAACTTTCCATGAAGTATTAGCATTATTTAATACAACAGCTTTTAGTTACTGACCAAAGTAACTAAAAAGTTATTTTGTCAGAAAAGTAATTAGTAATAGAAAAAAGTAACTTGTAGTAGAAAAACCAATCGTTTCTAACTAAACGCTTAAAAAGTAATACTTCATATTAACTGTTAGGTAATTCTACTATAGACAATTATTTCAAAATCCGAGTAAAAAGTGTTTACAACTGGGATCCATGTATTCCACAAAGCCGTTTTGCTCAAGCTTAAAAGCACAAGAGTACAGAAGTTGATTCCAAAAAATTTATCATGACTATTAACCTCCATCTGATTAAACCAAAAAACAGTTTTCCTTTCCATTGTAAAAAATTTTCAAATAGAATTCCTCTGACTAGCCCCATTTTCCACTATTATGTCTGCCATTACTTCAGCCTAACCTATACTTCTCATCTTAATTTTCATTTTTTAGATATTTCTGACGAGTCTAGAATACAAACAACCCAAACATTTTAATCCACTAACTGTTCACAAAAATGTCTGTAACTCGAAACCAAAACTGAAAATTAATATTAAAATCTCCAGAAAGCACATGTCACCTCAACATCTTCATATGTAAATTATGTTCAAAACACTACATTAATGCTTTTCAAACTACTTTCCTTCTGTTCCCAGACAGAAATTTCATACAACACTGTTGACAAAGCATTCACAATCATCTGACGTTTGGCATTACACAAAAGGCAGTGACACACCAACCAAAAGGAAAAAAAAAAAAGATTCCAGACACCTCAAAGAATATCAACAGTGCTTTGTTTCAGACTTGATCTTCATGAAACATTGCAAAAATTTGTCTTCCCATCCCAATTTAACTCGGTTTATCTACACATATATACACTGTACTCCTTGCAATGGGTTCAATTTACTAAGCCACCTACGCCGAAGGAAAAGGCATGCCACATGTGTAAAGGCCCATCTCAGCAAATAGCTCCCGAGTTGCAGCAAGACTACTCGGAAGCACTTCCTAGATCCTAGGACAGGTTTAGCAGGAGTTAGAGTCACTCCAGTCTGCTCCGTGGGCGTTTCTGTCTAGAAAGAGAAACTCGGTACGTCTCCAGGAGAATTCAGAGCCCGAAACCCGTCTGGTCACTGACCGGTGCCGGCACAGATTTAGGGTGGGAGCCTAAAAGCAGTTTCCAGGCCCCGATAAGGTGGAGCCAGGCCAGGGACCTCGGCTCAAGGCGGGGCTGAGCGGGAGGGACAGGGTTAGGGTTAGGGAGGGACACGACGGGGCGAGCTCGGTACCACTTCAGGCCCTCAGTGTACAGCCAGGCCAGGCCACAACCGCGCTCGGGGGACGAACCGGGCCGGGTCGCCGTTCGCACCGAGCTGTCGCTGACGTGGAGCCCCGCACTCTGGTCATAAATCCCCCAAAAACCTCGGCGTCTCCTCGGAGCGCTGCCCAGCAATAGCGACACGAAGACGCGAAGGCGGCGAGCTCGGCCCCTCAGAGGCCGCTCAGCCAGGGGCCGCCCGGCCCGGCCCGGCCCGCACGAACAGGCGCGGACGCCCTGAG